GCTAAAAAATGAGAGAGTATCTTGGTACACTAAAGTCGAGCACACATAAAGCTCTTTTTGACAAAACCTTTTTAATCAATGGAATCTTCCGATAAAAAGGAGGGGCACATCTTTGTAGCGCTAAAGTTACACCAAATACTGCCAAGACACCACTCTAATGGACTGTTAGAAATAGTGTCTTTAAAGCATGAATGTAATAAAGATATTTATTATTTAATTAATAAAATAGTTTATTCATTATTTATGTGCATGTTTTATTGAAATCTTAATGAATATCATTGAAAATTCGGTGATTATTTATGTGATCTTAAATAGTGTATATAAATGTTATATATGAGGGGATAATATTTAAGGATAATAATTGAAATAATGTTCATAATGAATTTAATTAAAGTTACGAAATCTTTAATTAAAATATTACTAATACACGTCAGTCCCATTAAGAATGGAATGGTGTTATCCACATCATAAATATAGAAGGATACTGAATGAGTGTATTATGCATAATAAGATTATGTAGAATTGGGACATAGACACAATTTGATTTTCTGATAATTTCCATTAAGTATAGAAAATTAAATTTGAGTTTACCGATGGTCATATATAGAATGATCTTAATCCTGAGTTATTAGTATATTCCTATTTATAGATTCATGTTTTTTGACTTACTCGGTATGGATTTCGAGATCCTAAATCATATTCCTTGTATCTTTGAAGAAGTAGATAAATAAATCCATTGAGAATTGATTCGGTACTTAAATAAGAAATGAGCTTGTATTCATGAACGTGTTTTGAATATACTATTCATTAGAGAATCAATAGTACTCAAGGATAAAGATATAATTAGAGAGATTAATAGATTTTACCTAGTTCTAATTATGAATTATTTATGAAGGATTGATCTATATATAGTGACTATATCAAATAGACACTTCAAGTTTTTAGAAGTAAATTATGTCTATAATTTCGAAAGTACAATTCAAAGTTTTTAGTGGAGTAACTTTTAGAATTAATAGAATTAATTAATTAATTAAAGAGTTTAATTAACTATTAATTTTATTAGAGCTCAGAATTATAGGTCCATGAGTCTCCATGTCATCCTTGTAATATTTGTAAGACAAGGTGAATTATTGAGATTTAATATCACTCAAAACAAATAATGAAAATTTTTGTACACACGATCCGCACATAAATGCTTCCGCATCTGAAAACGTTTCGAAAACCTATATGGACATCATAACAATACTAGATACCACAACCAAATTAGACAAGCAAGGTGAAAAATCTTGTTACTAAATAAACAAGAAACACCACAAATAAACACACAAAACTAAAAAATAGGCCCTAAACACTGCCGTCAACCGACTCTAGTGAGGAGGCAGTCGACAAAACCACCACCAAGGAAGGCAGAGGACTTCGAGAGGCACACGACAAGGTGGAAGAAACGTTGTCAAATTGTACCACGATAAGCACTCCAACCACTAGCGGGACACAGAACCACTACCTCCACGAGAATTTCACCAGCACACGGACCAACATCCCAAGAGAGTGCAACCACTAGACGACGATCACGCTAGAAACATCGGTCCACACAAATGACAACCAATCTCCAAAGCAAGTTAGATCCACCCCAACGATTGCGCCGCTCCACATACAACTACCACCATGGGGAAGTCGACATTGAGACGACTGGTGATCAACTCTCACAGATAGAAGCCCGGCCACATGCCCGGAGACGGCACGGTAGGCCAAACACTGCACACCTTTCCTCTATTTTTTGTTAGAGAGAGAAAGAGATAATCTCATATAACATTTAATATTAATAGAGAAGGGTAATTTTTATACTTTTTAAAATTTAATTACTTCAAAGGGTATTCTATGACTTATTTTACAAATATAATGTGTATTTTTAGTTATTTGTATAATAAATGAAACAAAAATGTATTTATACTGAACACATGAGATTATATATATATATATATATATACTTTTGCGGATGCCAGTGAGACTTGATTTGGTTTTATTAAGGAGATGTTGATTTTGATTCGTCAGCGATGTTACCAGGTTCTTGGATTTTCGGTTTGTATGGTGTTGCTTTTTGGCTTTTAATTAAGTTTTGGGGGCGTTACTCAGGAAAGGTTGGCTGATTCTAATGGTTATGTTTGCTGTCCAATATTTCTGTAGATGAGGTTTTTTTTTTTTTTAGAGCAGATGAGTTTTATTTTACCCTTTACGCTCTTCAATAAACTATTTTCATTTCTCAAAAAGAAAAAAAAAAACATATTTTTAAAAGTAAACTAAAAGATAACAGATGAAAAACACACGTGGAGTAGTGGGGTTACGACTCGGAATAGAAAGCATTTTCATTTATTTATCATCATATACAAGCTGCAATGAGCTCCCTTGGCTCAAATTTTGGCAAGTTCCTAACGACATGCTTGAGTTTAACAAATTCAAATTGCATGTCCAATTTCGGTCTTTAAAATAATGTGTAATCATCAGATTTTGCCACGTCATTTAAAAAAATTAAAATATCTTTTAATTAATTTTTTTCTTATTTTGATATTTAAATCTATTTAATAAAGTGGTATAATGTGATTGTCTTAAACATCACTTAAAGATACTAAAATTAAACTGAATGATTATGATTTGAATTCGAGTATAACAACCTCAAAATTGTTAAAAGGAGTCTTATATTAGTATGCTAATGATGTTGAGTTTCTAATGCGTTTTCAGAGACCTGATTCTTTGGTGCTTAGTTTCCACTTTTTCTGCAGTTTGGAAAATGCTTTTGGAAACCTTAAAAGCACTCTTCATGAAAGCAGTAATGCAACCATGATATTTAGTAAAAGTATATAGATAAAAAACACGTTACACAAAGACCAATAAAGTTTTTTAGGATCCGTTTAATTAACTGATTCGAGTTTTTAATTTGAGTTAAGATATGACTTTATGTGAGAATTTTTTACTGTAGTAAAAAAGTTAGATGTGATTGTTTTTTAGAGCTTTTTACTGTAGCAAAACTCGAATCGGTGAAATAAACGAGACCTTACTTATTCTGAGAAGCTGGATTTTCTAGCTTTTAGATTATGCAGGTAAACATAAAGTACAACAATCTTAAACTGGGTCAAATTGTTTAAATGTTGAATTTTAACTGCAATTTTGCCCGATTTTTGTTTCCGTTTCTTTCTTTTCTTTTTTTCCCCCAAAAAGTATCCAATTTATGTTTTGGATTATTATCACTGGTACTAGGGCTGTCAATTCGGGTAGCGACACAATAACACGACTCGAAACCCGCATGAAATTAACGGTTTTGAGTTTACTATAAATGAGTTTGGGTCACAATCAGGATGACACAATTAATACGATTAATAAATGGGTTGGGTTAGGATTGACCTTCTAACACGAATTGGCACGATTAACTATATGTGTCATCTGCAATCTAATGATATGCGATATAACATGAAAATTTATATGACATATTAAATACAAATAATGTGAATTTTTATATTTGTAGGTAAAATTTATTTATTTTTCTTAAAGAAAAAGATAAATTGACCAATAAACACGTTAAACCTGTCTTGACCGTGTTAAATAAATCATTATTATATTAGTTATTTATTCAATATATAAATTTAAACGGGTTATACAGGTTAACACGATTAACATGATTAATAAATAGTTTGTATTTGGATTGACATTTTTTAGACGTTTAATAAACAGGTCATGTTTGGGTTGATGTTTTCTGATACGATTAATAAACGAGTTGACACGAACACGACTCACTAACACGAATTTTCACCCTTAACTAGTACCTTTGAATTTTAAGGTCATTCTCAATTTGCCTTTTGAACTTTAAAAACTCTCACTTTACCCCATAAATTTTGAATTGTTCACACTTAACCCCTTTTATTGTAATTTATGTTAAAAACGGATAAAAAAGAGAGCAATACAATCATCTGGGCTTTCTATTTGAATTTCTATTAAAAATAAATAGATAAAAACCACATGTCCCTTTTTTTTTCTCTATGATTTTAACAAAAATTACAAGTGAAGGGGTTAAGTGGAAACAACTTAAAATTTAGGGGGTAAAGTGAGAATTTTTAAAATTTAGGGGGTAAATTGGAAATGACACTAAAGTTTAGGGGCATTGGTGATAATAATTCTTCCTATGTTTTTGTTACCCTTACATAACACACAGTCCAATTAATGTTTCTAAGTTGTAATGAATTTGGAATTTGCATCAAGTGGCAATTATCAATCTGTTTTTCATCCATTCAGCAACTTAAGATAATTGATTGGCAGAAGGGTAAAGGTATGATTTGATCACATTTTCAAATTGCAAATTGCTTTTTTTCGCCCTTATAATATAGGACAAGTACAATAACAAGGAAAGTGAGGACAATAACACAAAAAGGAAGGGGACAAAAAATTAGAGAAGTGTTGATACTTTTAAGGATGTCTGTTTTTCTCATAATTTTCAAGCTAAATTTGTGCCTCCTCTATGTGTCTCTATTCTAGCTAAAATTTTTAACGTTTTGTGAATTCACTCTTATAGCTCTTTCATCTTTCTCTGTGATAAGTGCATTTTCAGTGTGGTAGGTACATGTTGGTTGGGCGTTTGGATTTTTATCTTAAAATGATTGGCGGGATCAAGCTGATCCAAGATTTCATATCTAGCTTCATTGATTGAAAATACTACTTTCATTGATTGATTGCAATTTGGAGCACCCTCATATTGGCACAAACTTGTGTATATTTTTTGAACTAGCTTCTGTTTCTTCTAGAGGAAATTACGGTGTATTTTTCCTTTTTTTTTTTTTTTTTTTTTTTTACAAGATTTCTTGATCATCCCCATCATATTCCCAACATTTTTGCCAATTTATAACACGGTAAATCAAATCCTAATCTACACACAAAAAAGAAAAAAAAATGGAAATTAAAGAAATCAAGGAAAACTTCACTATTGATTCATTGAAGGAGCTTTGTCAAGATGTGGGAGGTCCAATTGAAAAACGGAAACCAAATTCAAAACCATGATTCTCATGATCTCCTGATCAATCTCTCCTGGTTGCCAAAGGGACCACCTCGGCCAGAGGAGTCGAGAGTGGCGTCGGGATCGGAGAAGTCCGGCACACCGGACACGTCGGGTGCAGCCTTAGCCAGGGGTCCACACACTTGACATGGAAGAGATGGCCGCAATCAGGCAGCTGCCTAAGCATATCCGTGGTCTTGTAATCAGCCAAACATATTGAACAACATGAGGAGGAAGTGGAGTTTGCCTTGTGAAGCTTGGCCTCGGAGTATGGCAACTTTGGATAGCTCTTGATGGTTGCCTCATCAAGTCCAACATCAATCACAAAGTTGGGCAAGTTGGGCTCCGGGTTGTTTGCGGGGCCCACGTTCCTCCGGGCGGCGGCGGCGGAAGAAGGCGGAAGCTGGGATCGGGTGCAGAAGTAGGAGGCAAGGGTTATGCTTGTGATGAGCAAGAGGATGCCAACAGAAACTCCAATGCCATAGCCAAATCCGCCTATGTCATTGGAGCCAAGGAAGCCACCAGTGTCGCCTGTGGCGTTCATGATCTAATTAGCTCCTAACTCACTCCCTTATGAAAAGGCTAAAAAACAAAAGGGATTGGGATTGGAGCTGAGAATTAATCGCTTGGTGTGCCATTGCCAATGGCCCCAAAAAAAAAAGTTGGTTATCTGGGGATTCAAATATTTTAGAAAGTCAACGCTAACATATGAGAGAGAGAGAGAGAGAGAGAGAGAGAGAGAGAGAGAGAGATATTATTGGGAGGAGTTTTAATTAAGGGAAGATGTATTTGAGGTTTGAAGTAAAGGCAAGGAAATGGGGGCATTACACGTGAATGAGTACAAACTGGTTGTTTCTCTACGTTAGATTATGAGGTTAGCTGTCTTCTAGTTCTTAGAAGTCAACGGTCATCTACGTTAGGGTTATTTACGTATTTTAAGCTTATTATTAAAAATATATACCATTTTTATCCTAATATGTAGGCATATATAGGCCCCGTTCACTTCACTGATTCGAGTTTAGAATTTGAGTTTTTTTACAGTAAAAAGCTCTCACAAATAATCACATCTAACTTTTTTGCTACAGTAAAAAGCTCTCACATAAAGTCACATCTCAACTCAAATTCTAAACTCGAATCAGCGAAGTGAACGAAGCCATAGTATTTTGATGTTCTGAATATTTTACAGTACATATTCCAATTTCATATTAAACTTTTACTTCTCTAGGTTAAACGCTGATTTTAATCACTTATATGACGACTTTATTACCAATTTGTGTATAGAGTCAAGAAGATGATAATCTAATGGTAAAATCGTCATTGAAAGAATAAAAACTAGTTATTGATTAAGAGAAAGTATACGTTTGATATTTACGACATTAAAGTCTAGGTATATAATATTATTGAGAATACTAAAAATACATGTGTATATGTTTTTGATAAATTAAAATGCATGCTATAAAATATGAATAATAAACCCTCTTGGTTTATCTTACTCTTGACTTTGTCTGATATATGATATAAGCAACGTCTTTATATTAATTGAGCATCTACATATTCAATTCTTCTTTCTTTCAACAAAGCATCTCACATTTCTTATTCATATCTATCTATCTATCTATCTATTTATATATATATATATATCTCTCTCTCTCTCTATATATATATATATGTATATATATGTATATATATCCTATTTCTCTCTCTCTTTTTCTTTCTGTGCGTGCAATCCACGTTTTCTGCATAGTATAGTTATTACTTCTACTGCAATTTTATTATAATAATAACGTTATAATCCAATAATATTCGCCCACAGGAACTTGATACAGCAATAGAAAATTCATGTCTGTCTTTCTCTTTCTCATTGTCTCTAATGTGGTTTTTAATGCAATGCTTAAACCACAGCCACAAGCAAGGAACAGCAAGAAGTTGGTATTGATGGATTTAGCACAACAATATGCAGAAACATTAAATTCTTGTCCTTAAGAAAAAGGCTAAAAAAGAAATCTCCTTTGGGTTTGGTGGAAAGTATCTAAATGCCTCGGAAAGGAAGTAATAATGGTATAAGAATAAGCTAGAACCCAAAAGAGGGGTTTTTTTTTTTTTTTTTTTTTTTTTTTTTTTTTTTTTCCCAAAAATGCAGCTGGCCGTGATCCTATTCTTTTAACTAAATCCAGTTGTGTCTCTTCTTGGAGTTAGTTGGCGTTTTGGGAGGTTGGTTGGTCCATCAATGACACAAAATATGTGTCATTTTTTTGGTATATGGTGTATGATAGATTCTCAAGTTGCATTAAATGTTTTGGACAATACTTTGTATTATCGACATGGTTATTATCACTAACTTTCAAGGAATACCAACTTCCATGTACTAGAAACTAATATAATTTCCCGATGGAACTCTAGCATATATATATATATATATGTATGAAGAAGAAAATTTTTCTAGCATAATTTCCTTGAAAATTTCCCGATGGAAAATGAGTCAATTAATAAAATTTTTAAGGTTATTGAACTAATTGTATGTATTTACTTCTCATCGAATAAAAATATACATTATTAGTAAGTAAAAAATATTATTTATAACACTCTATTAAAACAATAAGCAATTATCATTCAATTAATAAAGAAAAAATAAAATACAACAATAACACTTAATTATTCTGACTGATATAAATAATAAATTTGCATAAAACCATAACAAACTATATACTTTTCTCTAATTTTAAAACAATACCAATAACCATTACACTAGTACTTGTGGAAAATTAAGTGGATGGCTGGTTCTGATCACCACTTTTAATTGTTAAATTTTTTTTTTTTTTTTTAGTTAAAAGGCCCTTTTTCTTATGGAGTTTTTAATGGTTAATTATTAGTAAATGAATGGTCTATCACTGATAGACCAGATTGTCATTGATTTACCAATCATTGATCGATCAATAGATTACTGATTAACATTTTAGGAGAGAAATAAGAGGACAAAAGATAAATTTCATGTTACAGAAATAAGTAGCATTTTTACACAAAAAATTTAAAATTCCTCGAAATTCAGCTTCTTCGTCTCTTCTCCTCTTCAAAATTGTTCCACGTCGTCATTGTTTTTTCTCTCACTAATTTTGTAATGTGTTCTGCATGTATTACCGTGTTTAAAACACTTAAAGAGTTTATTGTTTATTAAATAATGATAAATTCATTTATACAACTATTTAAGGATTTTTTAATTTATTTTAAAAAGGAATATGTGTAGAGACAACAATTGACAAAAAAAAAGAAAAAAGAAAATTAAGTAGGGACACGTTTGAAGAAAATTATTTTAACCAATAAAAAATAAAATAGGAACACATGTGGAAAATTACTCTCATAGAAGTAGAGAGAGGAACAATATATTTTTAAAATCACACAAAAAAATTAAAATGTAAAAGAACTCACAAAAATAAAGATAAAAAAGTTAAAAAAAAATAGGGAGAAAGAGAGAAATAGGCCAAGACTTGAGATGAATTAAAATTAATAGGCCAATAGTTTACATAAGTTAATAAATATGCCAAATTACTATTTTTGTCAATAACTTGTATGGTTATGAACCATAACTTGACAAGTTATTGTCCATAATTCATGGTTTTTGTCCATAACTTGTCTGGCTATGAATCATAACTTGACAAGTTTGTCCATAACTTATCTGGTTATGAACCATAACTTGACAAGTTATGGCCTATTAATTTCTATAATTAAAAATTGGCCTATATACTTTCTTAAGCTTTTCATATTGACATATTTTCTACAATTTCCCAAAAAAATAAAAGAAAATAAAAGATGTAAGTAGAGGAGGTGTCACGTGGCAGCCTTATAGAAAAAGGGCTTTGACTCTTTGACAGCCCCATACAAAAAAAAAAAAAAAGAATCTTAATCTGTTGTCTAATTTTAAGTATCTTAATTGTTGTCTAACTGATTAAATCATACCACATTATCTCATACTAAACACAAAAAAGTTAGTTAAAAAGCAATCTAAATTTTTTACATGAGGTGTCATGATTTGATGTTCACACCAATTAAAATAATAAAATTGCACAGCAAATTGGAGTTCGAAAAAAAGAGAGAGCACTTTTTATGTATTGTTATATTAGATATGATCACAATAAATGCAAGCTGCTCCTATTTCTAATTTTTTTTCTCCCGCTTACTGCAATAAAAATAAATATAAAATGTGTCATTTGTCTCAATTATTTTCAAAAGGAAGTTTATATTCCAAATCTGCAATTAGTATCTAGGATCCGCTTGGTTTATGAATTCAAATTATATGGTTTGAATTATAATTTAAATTTTTATGACAAAAAGAATTGTAGCAGAACCATTTGAATCGGTGTTTGAACCCCTTTACTAAACATGTTCCTGATCTTAAAAGTGGTGTCCAGCCAGATTACTTCTCTTGATTATCATGGGCCATAATATCGAAGAGATGTACCAAACTCGTAGCCCAATCCATTAATTTGAGAGTTTGGGCTTTTAGCTCTCTGACAATCAACTCATAAACCAGTTTGACTATCCTAGCTCTAAACCGTCTAAACAGCACTTTCAACGGCCTTGATCGAAGAAGAAAAACAAAACCAAAGCACAGAGAAAAGAAGAAGAAGAAGAATAAGAGGCGGCAAAGAAAGAATCCGTTCCTCTTTTACTCTCAACCATGGCAGTCCTTTCGATTCCGACGCCGATCATGGCGGCGATTCTGATGATGACGGTGGTGCTAGGGCTAGCAAGAGCGGACGACACGAACCGCGTTTACTCGCCGTGCTCGGACTCGAAGGTGGAGATTTCCGACGGTTTCACGTTTGGAATCACGTTCGCGTCGAGGGACTCGTTCTTCAATGGCAACAAGAGTCAGTTGTCTCCCTGCGACAGCAGGCTCGGCCTCCGCAACAGCAATGCTCAGATCGCCGTCTTCAGGCCCAAGGTCGACGAGATCTCTCTCCTCACCATCAACACCTCCTCCTTCTTTCCGGTCAGTTCTCTCTCTCTCTCTCTCTCTCTCTCTCTCTCTCTCTCATCGTTATGTTGAATTTGGTTGCGACTCTCTCTCTCTCTCTCTCTCTCTCTCTCTCTCTCTCTCTCTCTCTCTCTCTCTCTCTCTCTCTCTCTCTCTCTCTCTCTCTCTCTCTCTCTCTCTCTCTCTCATCGTTATGTTGAATTTGGTTGCGATTTCAAAATCAATGATTTCGCTAATTTCTGGTTCTGAATTAGGGATTTTTGTATGAAGACTGTAATTGTATTTGAAAGGGTTCTGTTTGGCGTGATTTATGAGGTTTTCGCTTCTCAGTTGTTTATATAGTTTTAACTATTGTTCTAATTTTGATTGATATGTAGGCCGGAAATGAACTTAAAATTGTGTGCCTTTGAGGGTTTTAGTGTATTGATTAAGGTAGAATTATCAAAACCAGAAATTTGCTATTAGTCCGAGCATTTGACTTGCTTGACTTGGTTTTAATATTAGGCTAAGCATTGGAGTTTTGGTTGCTGAAGGTTGGAGTAACTACTAAGATATGGATTCTTTGAGGGCTTGTGACAGTACAATTTTGAGCAATATATCTTGTTTCAGAGCGTGTCTGACTAATCCTGTAATCCATGGAAAAATGGGATAGCCGAACAGAAGAAGATAGTGGAGTTCACTTCTAAACTCGATTTTCGAATCGGTTTGAATTAAAATGTGCCATATGAAAACCTTTCTAATTTTCCTTGGTTTTGTTGTTCGTTTAGCAATCTCTCCTTAGCATTGCTAATTGGATTGTGGAGCTAACGAAATGATGGGACTTATATTTGGTGTTGTTATAATCCTTGAGACATTTGCAAAATCAGAATGTTTTGTGGAACTTTCAATTGGGTCAACGTGAAATCAGCCAATTTGGTTCAACTTTTTGTCAAGCCCGATGTATCTATTGAAGAAAATAACATTCTCTTGAGTTTCCTGATCGATTGCCTATTTGTTTAGATAACTTTTCAAATTTGTCTTCTGTCTTGACAAGTTTTTGCTTGATGTATTGTGGTTCATTTCTTATACTCTTGTCTCTTTTCATCCTTTGCTTGTAACAGGAAAATTATGGCGGATATATGGTTGCATTCGCTGGTCGAAAATATGCTGCAAGGTCCCCCCTTGCTTTTGTAGCAAACAACACCTACACTGTGTCAAGCTTTACTCTTGTAAGCTTTTTGGACTTGATCCCTTATTGATACTGATCTCAGTTATACCTTCATGCTTACCTGAATAATCCAATATAAGAAGCTATTGTACTTGTAGGTGCTTGAATTTAAGAAGGGCAGGCTTCAAAACTTGTTTTGGAAGAGGGACGGTTGTGCCAAATGTCAGAGTGGCTCTAGCTTTGTGTGTCTCAACAAGCAGGACTGTGCTATCAAGACGTCAAGCTGCAAAAACCATGCAAGTGGAGGCTCTGTAGATTGCAGCCTTGGAATACAATTGGCATTCTCTGGCACAGACAAGCACCTTTCGGCTTTGAACTCATGGTATGAGGTGGAGAACCTTCGTCAATACTCGCTCTACGGTTTATACTCTAATCTCAAGGACTCTCTCACTAGTCAGTATGACAAGATATTTTAACTCCGGTTCTAGCCTGTAGATGCATTTTTCCTTCTTTTTTGATCGCTGTTGTAATTCTTTATTAACACTTGGTCTTTTTTGTTGCTTTGATTTAAATATATGTTGTGTTTTCCCTCCTTTTCTCCACGTTTTGGAGCCCTCCATCCTGGAAAACTCTCGACACTATATGGTGTGTATATTTATATGCGAAACATTTACTTGATATTGGGGTTTCATTGCATTCATGTTCTTTCTTGGTCGTGTTGTTTCATTGGTTTTAACCTCCTACGATTTTCCGTTAGAATTTATCCTGATGGATTAGGCCCTGATAGGATTGAGAGTTTTTTCACCCCGAAACATAGTTGGTTGTTTCCAACACTTTCCAGTTGTTTCCAACGCTTTCCAAGTGTTCAAGAATTTCACCTGACCTCGTAATGAATACGTGCTGGTCATCCACTGAAACATGTTATTATCAGGCCCGGTATCTAACCATACATAAAAGAGACAAAGCTCTTTTTTTTTGGGTTGTTCTTCCACTTATCTCTTTTTTTTTTTTTTTGAATTTTTTTACATTTTAATTTTTTCTGTGTTTTTTAAAATTTTTTGTTCCTCATTTTATTCTTAATAGAGTAATTTTTTTTGCATGTATTCTTATTTTATTTTATTTTTTGTTGTTTATAATATTTTTTTAAATGTGTTTCTGCTTATTGGTTAATTGTTATTTATAATATTCAAAATTCCTTAATTGTATAAATGAAATTTTCATTATTCGGTAAATAATAAATTTTTTAGACGTCTCTAATACGGTAATATTTGAGGAGTACGTTACAAAATTAATAAATTAAAAAAAATTGTGATGTATTTGAAAATGAGAGAATGTGTCATGAATCATGATCAATTAGAGCTCCACAAAAGTGGAGCTGAAAGTGCGTGCTGTCGAGCCCAAAGGCTCGAAAAGGGCAACTTCATAAGGGAATTTCTTTTAGAAAAAAAAAAATAATAATAACAAAGGCTAATTGGATAGGATCGCTCCATAGACTTTTACGCCAACAAACTTGGCTTGGCCTAGTCCAATGCGGGGATTGGACTGGACTGAACCGGCTTATTCAAGTTGAGTCGTTATGCGAGTCAAGCCAGGTCGAGTCATGGCCGAAGAGATGGTCTTAAACTTACAATTCTACGCAAAAGCATAATACGAGCGTTGTGTTACGGTCTTGCTTCCTTCAACAAAGCTGCCATGCGACCTTAGTACTTCCCCCTGCTAAGTAAGCCTAAATTCAGTCAAACTCACAAGACTAGGCAAGATAGTTAGAGCAAAATGTTAGGAAAGCCAAGAAAATACACCAAGCGCAAGTAAGAAAAGCCTCTATTAATAAGTGAGAGCGCCTGCAGAGGTAGGGGTGTTCACGGGTCAGTCGAATCACCAGCCAACTGAACCGACCAATCGATTTTTCTTAAAATGGCAATCGTGACCGACTCGATAAAGAGAGTAAACCGACCGATAACCGCCCAAAAGTAGTCGGTTCAGTTTCGGTTACACCCGTCAGTGTGAACCCCATTATGAGAAAATGAAAAGCGAAAAAAATCAACACAAATTCAGTTCACAGATCTTAAATTTCTCAATAATAGATCAAAATCAACAATCACATATTCAGATATTCTCAATCTCTAAACAATCAGCATTGAATTTTAAACAAATTATTTAAAAAATTATGTCGAGTGACTTAGCATATTTGAGTTTGAAATGCTAGAAGGAAGCGTGACATGAGATGGCTAGGTTGATCTAATGGCAAGGTTGATCTGATGGCGACAAACCAGCATGGACAAGAAGCCAAATGAGCCAACTTAGGCGAGGCGAGTTAGAAAGGATAGAGAATCGCCACCGACAATAACATGGGAGGGAGAGTGAGAGTGATATTTGCTCTTGCAAAATAGGGTTTTGTTTCTAAGAGACCCTCGAAGGCGTAAAAGCCCACTCCTTAAGGCCTAGATTGATACGATCTCCAAAGGCGTGATATTTGTCTTGCAAAATAGGGTTTTGTTTCTAAGAGACCCTCGAAGGCGTAAAAGCCCACTCCTTAAGGCCTAGATTGATACGATCTCCAAAGGCCCAAGCCCTTAACGCATAAACGGAAGCCCACGGCATGGATTCTTACATATATATAATTTTTTTTAAAAAGTTTTTGAGAACTTCGGGCGGTTCGGTTATAACCGACAGCCAAATTCCCTAAACCGTAACCGACTGTGCATGACTTCGGTCGGTTCGGTTTTAAAATTGAAAAGATCGGTTCCTTCAGTTTCGGGTATATTCGGTTTGGTTGTCCTTGGTTGCAGGCGGCTTGTGTCGCGTTCGGTTTCTTGCGAGTTAGTAAGGATAGAGAATCGCCACCGACAATAACATGGGAGGGAGAGTGAGAGTGATATTTGCTCTTGTAAAATAGGGTTTTGTTTCTAAGAGACCCTCGAAGGCGTAAAAGCCCACTCCTTAAGGCCTAGATTGATACGATCTCCAAAGGCCCAAGCCCTTAACGGATAAACGGAAGCCCACGGCATGGATTCTTACATATATATAATTTTTTTTAAAAAGTTTTTGAGAACTTCGGGCGGTTCGGTTATAACCAACAGCCAAATTCCCTAAACCGTAACCGACTGTGCATGACTTCGGTCGGTTCGGTTTTAAAATTGAAAAGATCGGTTCCTTCAGTTTCGGGTATATTCGGTTTGGTTGTCCTTGGTTGCAGGCGGCTTGTGTCGCGTTCGGTTTCTTATGAATACCCCTATGCAAAGGATGGATTAGAAATGAGGGGTGGTCCCCTAAATTATAGGCCATTAATCTAGAGCTTTAAAGCCAGGTATCTAATATTTGCACATGCTGTAGGAGGTTCTACTCCTTTCCAGAGGCGGAGCTACACCCCTCCCTCTCCACTCCCGGGCCCAGAGTTGAAAGTTTGGGTCATCCAACCCATTCAAGCTATCTGAATGAGATTTTCGAGCTAGCCTGCTAAAGAGAGGAGGGTCGATTCAGCCCTACCTTATAGCTTGACAAGTTAGGGCCGACTTGAATTTTTATAAGGTAATTTCTTTTAAAAAAAATAAAGAAACATTTGGGTCGGGAGTTTCAAAAACACTTTTGAGCCTGGACTATCGGCCCAACGCGAGGATTCACGTCGAGTTAGATCAATACTAATGGATAATTTATCCTTAAGAGTGTAAACCTTTACCTCTTACTTTTAATAAATACCCTTTTTAGTGTAATTATTTAACTAAAAATGTCATGAATAAAGAGTAAAGTGTAAAAATTTTAACCCATACACTTTCAAGGAGTATTTATCAAGATTATCCAAAGTTGTAGCTCTACTCAGGGCCACAGATTCCTATTAAAGTTTAACCCCAATATTAAAATGTTTAACATTTTTTTCCTTTGTATGCCCTCTTCCCCCCAAAATTTTCATTCGTCACACCTCTACATAACTTTAAAAAAAAAAAAAATCAATTATGCGTTCAAAGATTTGACATTTAACTGTATTTTTATTCAATTTAAAATCTCAAGTAAACCAAATATCAACTATACTACTATAATTTTACAACTTTTTATCATTACAAAAAAAGAAAAGAAAAAAAAAACTTGTTTCTAGAATCCAAACTCTAAGCATTAAATTGAACTCACAAACTTAGTTCATGCAAGGTGAAGATAAAAATAATTCAAAAATAGTAGAAAATATGTCAATATGAAAAGCTTAAGGAAGTATATAGGTCAATTTTTAGTTATAGAAATTAATAGGCCATAACTTGTCAAGTTATAATTCATAACTAGATAAGTTATTGACAAACTTATCAAGTTATAGTTCATAGCCAGACAAGTTATGAATACAAACTGTGATTTATGGACAATAACTTGTCAAGTTATAGTTCATAACCAGACAAGTTATGAACAAAAATAGTAATTTGACCTATTTATTAACTTATGTAAACTATTAACCCATTAATTTTAATTCATCTCAAATTTTAGTCTATTTCCTTCTTTCTCCCAAAATAATTATCGTCTCGTAATTTCATTTCAAAATTTCTCTTTAGTTAACACTCCCGAAAATATATTTGGCTTCACTATTGCTCCTATCTAGGAACATGTAGGGCCCCTTCTTTCTCCCAAAATAATTATCGTCTCGTAATTTCATTTCAAAATTTCTCTTTAGTTAACACTCCTGAAAATATATTTGGCTTCACTATTGCTCCTATCTAGGAACATGTAGGGCCTACTACTATCTTATAAGTATTTTTAAGCTTTTGGAAAGTTTGAAAGTAGTCTCGAAACTTTTAGAGACTTCCAATGAATTCTATATCCCTCAAGGTCCTTCTAAACTATTCTGGATAGTTCGAACCTTTTTAGAAAGTTCACGCTTCTTACAAAATGTGTTCATTTCTTTAGGATATTTGATCACCTTTAAAGAACACTAGCGAATCCCAAATCTTCATGAGCCTCTGAGAGTTATAATGGGACAGAACTTGTGCAGCTTATGTTAGATAGTTCTAAATATTAACTTTGAAACGCTAAACAAAGTAGTTGCATCCAAAATCTCAAGCTAAATCTCCACATAAACAAATGTAGTTAAGGGGCAAAGAAATGTTAAAAGCTTTCTTAAACACTATTAGATCCATACAACTTATTTTATTTATTTAAAGTTTTGTATTTACTATAAATATCCTTAGAATTTAAGCTGTTACATAACTGCTTCCAAAATCATTCGAATCAATCGCCTAAGTCACTCATTAGCTCAGCACCAATCATTTGTTGAAGTCAACGAGTGGCCACTGGTGGTCGCATCACAACTGGTCAGAGTCAGTCACTGGATGACCACATGTCATCTGCTGGAGCCCATAGCCGAAATTGATAATTACTATGACAGAATTACTGAAGTTACCTGAATTATGTATCCTAGTTTAAAATGTCACTTAAATTTATAAATAAAACTCACAAAATGTAGCACTACTCATACTTTTGTAAATGCTTCCTTGCTATTTATTTATTGCCCCTGAATTATTATTTTTGTGTCAACTTGCCTCTTAATATTTTAAAAGATTGGGAAAGAAATTGACACAATATCATTATATAGTTCAGAGCATTTATGAAATAGTATTATTTCAAGGGCGTTTTGAACCACTTTTCCTACTTCAGGGTGTGAAATAAACCCTTTTCAACATTGGAGTGCAGGATGAAATAAGGTATA